AATTTTTAAGACAAAATTTTGGGGGCGGTGGATTTAATTTTTTTTTTTTTTTTTTTTTTTTTTAATGCTGCAACTGGGAGCCTGTACCTTAGCATCTTTACATTTCTAAAACATTATTTGTCATATTTGCATAAATAAGGTTGAGAAATAATAAAAAAAATATGGGAAAATTAAAGCCCATTTTGTCCGTATTCTCAAGAATCACTGATTATATTGAAATCTTTTGTGATATACCAACTCAAAGTAACATAGTTGTGAAGTTAAACGAAAATGACGAATGGTTCTCAATTTTTTTTCCCCAACCACAAAAAAAAGTAACAAGAATATGTCCTTTCTTGTCTGAAACATGTCCAGTTCAGATCTGACATTTTCAAAATCTCAATTGGACATATAGCTGGACTTTGACTGGGCTATTTTGATGCTTGGCTATCAAGATAGCTCTGGTTCCGTTTGTAGGGTTGATGTCCTGCCGAAACAACTGGATCTAATCGATTATTGAAATAATCCACTAATTCAGTAACTGGGTAATCATTGATTGAGAATAGACTCAAAAAATTAAATTTTCTGAAAGAACCACCTCCTCAGACCAGTAATGAAGCCAAAATTGTACAAAAAATACATACATTCTTCATTTAAGAAAAAAACCCTTGTCTGTAAATATGTTCTACCTAGAACATCGCAACTGAGTTTTAGCTTGACCTGGTTCAGATTCTGTAAAAAAATGAAAAATAAAAAAATCGATCAAGCAACTTTTGCTATCCATTTATTAATGAGTTCATTCAAAATGAATGAACTCATTAAAAAACCAGACGAGCCCTACACTGTATTGATGTTAAGTCCAGCAGAAAGGCCTGATCTATTCACGTGTTGAAGGACTTTTAGCTGCAGATGATTCCTTTGCTACAGATTATCAAGTGTTCACTAAAAGAATGCTGTTATTGAAGTTGAGAATAAAATGTTTATTTTGTTAGCTAAGGGAAGGAATTTAATTATTTATATTTTTCAAAGAATTTCTAACATTGCATAAAAAAAGGCTTAAGTGGTTAAATAAAAAATCTGTATTGTGTCAACTTTTTTATCCACTTAATCATCAGAATAATCACTAACTAAAATAATGCTTAGTTGCAGCCATACTTCAAAGTGCTGTGTACTGAGAGGTGCTTTCGGGGCCACATTACCAAGTTGCTCTGACAGCTGGCGCCCCCTGTCGGACGCCACCACCCGCTCATCTTCCATATCACACTTGTTTCCCACCAGGAGGACCTGGGCGTTGTCCCATGAGTACGTCTTGATCTGGGTTGACCTATCAACACAAACACAAGGCTCCTTCATTTTCTTAATAACTTAAGCGACCTTCCTGGGAAAGGATAAACACAGCTTCTTCTATAAGGTACAATCAATAAAAAATATTGATGACTCTCTGTGGAACAGACATTGTGATTAGAATTACATTTATTCCAGTTCATTCCAAAATGAACTGGAATCCAGTTCAATCCAAAATGAATTCCAAAATTCCAGTTTCTGGAAACATGTCTGTTTCCAGAAACTGAGAGGAATGAAAGGTCATCCAAGCAGCAGAGGGCTGAATGAAACACCGAAACAGATGGAGTCACTACTTTCCTACAAACAGACGTATGTCTCAGGAAGTTAGAAATCGTGAAAAAGTTCAATATTTCTCCTCTCTCATTTCAGAATGTGAAACGTGTCTATGATATAGATCCATTTTACATGGAGTGAAATACTCGAAGCCTTTATGTCTTGTAACTTTGATGATTATGGCTTAAAGATCATGAAAACCCAAAGTTAAGTATCTCAGATGGATCCTACAATTGTTGATCTACTGGACATTTTCTGACTCGGGCCTCTCTCTGTGAAGCTCCCTAAAAATTCTTGAAGGGATTCTACTGCTGCACCTTTTCCTATCCCACTTTTACCTTCCACTCAACTTTCTATGAATATGCTTGGATGCAACGCTCTGAACAACCAGCTGCTTCAGCATTGACCTGCTGTGTCTTCCCCTCCTTGTGGACGGTGTCCATGACCGTCTTCAAGCAGTCTTTCCAGTCAGTAGATTGTGTGGAGCTTTTGAGTAAACCTTCAGCTGTTTGCAGGTTAATTAGCTTAACATGGTGTGAGTTTCACCATGAGATTCCAATATTTGCCCTTTCATGATATTCTTATCTTTTTAGCAGCACATGTACCCATCTCTTACCAGTCTTGCACAGCATTAAAGGACTCCTCGTTGGTGATGTCGTACATGAGGATAAAGCCCATTGCTCCCCTGTAGTAGGCTGTGGTGATCGTTCTATAGCGCTCCTGACCAGCAGTGTCCTGCGCACACATGGAACCAAAACACACTTCATAAATTACTTCAAGCATACAGAGCTATCAAGATGAGTGACTATAAAATAAGATGAATAAAAAAAAAAAAACATCCAGCAGTAAAGCCAAAGTTTGACTTTATCATTATGTTCCTAATGTAATAAGCAGCATAGGCATGCTTCAAGGGTTTTGCCGTTAAATCCTAACAATGGAATGATTCTGACCAAAGAGGCAGATGTTTAACAGCTGGAAGTTATCAGAGAACCTGACCAGACAGTTCGTCTCAATGGCCATAAAAAACAGTCTTAGAAAGGTCAGTTAGCAGCTAATGTGGACCATCAGTAGGATTAGTGTTAAGTTTAAAGGTCAGCTGAATTTAAAAGTTGAAATGTCTGAATAATGAAACTGGAGACTCGCAATAACAGGAATGTTTTGAGACACTTTTGCGTTTGATTTATTAAATATGAAACATCTGATTTGAACAGTTTAATACATAACCACAAACTGACTGACTGCTTGTATCTGACAAGTTAATGATAAATTTTGATAACTATTTTACAATTAGTGACAAAATAATGAGTAATAGAACTTTTAATGAAACTAATGGTTACAGCTGCAGGCTGTACATTCTGCATACTGTTAAAATGCAATAGCTTTACAGAGCAGTAATAACGCAGTCCACATCTCATTAGTATTGCAGGGCCAGTGTATAGTATGTGACTGAACTCACTCATCGGTGATGAGCTGGACGTTGCAGACTCTCAGTTTTAGGGTGGGATGTACAAAATCAACATGTGAATTTCATTTATTATTTTTTAAGGTTTTATCGTCTCTGGTGTCCTTTATTTTTTTTTATAGTGGTCAGACAGGAAAGTGGGTAATGAGAGAGAGGGAAGACAAAGGCAAAGGTCATCAGGCAGGGACTAGAGCCTGTGACGGCCGCGTCGAGTCAGACTAATTCCCCTGCACCACTGCAACACCCCCAACATGCAAATTTCCTCCCCTTATGTTATAATTTTAAATCCAAGCTATTCGCTTTTTAAACAAAAACATCTTTCATTCTCTTAAAGCTTACTTTTTAGATGTCATTTGCCCGTTTGAAAAATAAGAAGTAAATTCACATAAAAAGGCGATATATGAACAAAACTAAATTCTCAGTTCTGTTTGTGACCACTAGAGGGGCCCAGAGGTCCTGTTCAGACCAGAATCCAACGTGTTCAGTAATACTGAGACAGCAGTGATGGCAGGTGTGGATCACAGTTAGAGGTGGTATTGGAGATGAAGCTACATTTGTTCAGCAGAGTTGAAGTACTGGGTAGTTTTAAGTTATTAAACAGATCTGCAGGGTTATGTGTGTATAGACAATGGAAGGATGAAAGGTCCATGAAAAAAAAAATAAAAATTTATTCTTGAAAATATTGAGCCATACATAAAATCCATTTCAATTATCTTACTGCTCGGTCGGATCATCAGTCATATCCTAATATCATGTGCCCAATTACTAAAAAAAAAATCTTAAAGCGGTAACTAGAAAATTTCTGAAGAAATTTAAACAGGGCCAAAGTGTGCCCGTCGGTTGGAACCCAGCGTTCCGATGTTAAAAATTTGCATCAATGCTAAAAAAAAAAGCTACAAAGTACCTAAAAGCATGCGAAGAATCACAAGCATGTTGAGTAACATGGACTTACACCATTCAGTATGTTAAATTCAGTGTATAAGCTAAAATTATCCAAAATGCTAATGTTAGCCTAAATGATGATTACATAAATCATCATGACTTATCACATAAATCACTAAATGATTTATGTAATAAATCATTTAGTGATTTATCACATAAATCACAAAATTATGTCCTAGATTGAGCATGTTGTCTTAGACTGACTTCCTCCATTCAGTATAGAAAACATGGCTAATAAATAAGAAAAATAGATAAAACCTTACTTTAGGGAAAAGCCTAATGGAAGGCAGTGCAGTAGTAGGGGGCAGTGCACTGCTAACACTTATGCTAATGTTCTTGCATAACTAAACTGAGGGAAAAAGATATGTAAAAGGCTAATGTGAACTAACGTGAGAGAAATGTTGAGGTTTTTATTTTGAAATTTTCAGTAAGCATTTTAAATAGCCACACTAATCCCATGTGTAACAGTAGTTGGGTTAAATCAGTTATATAAAGCCCAAAAGAGCAATCACCTGATGTAAAAAATGTGAAGGCTTTTAGTTTGAAATTTTCAGTAAGCTTTATTTTAAAGGGCTATACTAATCCTATGAGTAACAGTGGTTGGGTTAAACCAGTTATATAACGCCCAAAAGATTTGGCCATGTCTGTAATTCTAACATTCTGCTCAGCCTTCTTCTGTAGAAACGCAGAGTTCCACCATTATTGTAGTTCTTAACTGCCAACTCAGCCCTCCTCTGTAGCAAGTGAGAGTTCCTCCATTACTGTAGTTCCAAAAGGCAGCTCAGCCCTCTGCAAAGGTGAAGAATTTTAAAGGCTAATATTATTGCATCGCCCGAAGCGGTGCACTACTCTGAGAGGTATATTGAGGCTTTTATTTTGAAATTTTCAGTAAGCTTCATTTTAAATGGCTACACTAATCCTATGAGTAACGGTGGTTGGGTTAAACCAGTTATATAATGCCCAAAACATTCTGCCATGTCTGTAGTTCAAACATTCTGCTCAACCCTCTTTCTGTAGTAACTCAGACTTCCACCATCAATGTAGTTCTAAATGCAATGTCATGACCGACTTTCAGACCAATATTTGTGGGCATGAGGGTGATTTCAAAATTGTTTGTGGTCAAAAATCCACTGCATTTCCCACTCTAACGGAGCGGCAGTTGATTACACTCTGCTTTTTGTCAGTTGGAAATTTCGCTCGTTTTTGCTTTTTACATCGCCATCGTAACTCCGATCCCCAATAAAAATAATAGCACCCTTCCCGGGATCGAGCCACATGTTTTGATACCATTTCTGAGAGGGGGCACGCAGGGGTACAAGCCGCATTAAAGGTAACGGAAGAAAAAATAAATAATACTAGAAAAATTGCTGTTCCTAGCAAAACAGCCATGAGAATGCATATTTGCAGAACGCTCGCAGCAGAAAATGCAAGAAACAGCAGAAGAAAGCATAAGAAGTAGGGAAAAAAGCAGAAGAAAGCTACAGTCAGACATGGTAGAAATATTTTGCTAAAGAGTGAAATTTAGCCAAAGACATAGCACAGATTAGCAGAAGTCGAAATTAGTATAAAACCTGAAGTTGTTGAAAAAGTTGAAAAGTAAAACATAGCAAAAGAAATAGCATAAATTAGCAGAAGCAGAACATGGTATCAAACCTGAAGTAGTTGAAAAAGTTGAAAAGTAAAACATAGCAAAAGGAATGGCATAGATTACCAGAAGTAGGAATTAGTATTAAACCCAAAAAAGTTGAAAAGTGAAACATAGCAATAGCATAGATTAGCAGAAGCAGAAATTAGTATAAAACCTTAAATAGTTGGAAAAGTTGAAAAGTAAAACAAAGCAAAAGAAATAGCATAAAGTAGCAGAAGCAGAAATTAGTATAAAACCTGAAATACTTAAAAAAGTTGAAATAAAACATAGCAAAAGAAATAGCATAAAGTAGCAAAAGAAGCATATATGAATTGCTAAAATTGATTGTTAGCAGAAGACCTTTATAGACAATAAAACAGTAAAAGCAGAAGGCATATACAGATAAGTAGACAAGCAGAATGCTAACACACAGATAGAAACAGAGCACAACAGAGAAATACATTGAAGGAATAGGAGAAAGTGTGACATATCTTTACTCCAGAAGAGTTTGACAGAAAACAGTAAGACCTGAAGCAATGATGACAATAGTTCCTTAAAGCAGTCATTAGTGGCTACGTTTTAAAGTACAAATTATTTCTGTACAGTTAAATATGTATGAACAGCATCATTTTGTTTGTCAAAAAGCATGAAAAGTTAAAAAAATGTCAGTTACTAGAGCAGGGGTCACCAACACGGTGCCCGCGGGCCCCCGGTCACCCGAGGGGACCTCGTCAGTCGCCCGCGAGCAAGTTCTAAAAATAGCCATTGTTATTAGAGAGCACTGCCAAAAAAATATTCAATTAAATGTTTTGTGCCCACTTTAAAAAAAGAAAAGAATAATATGGATTTTTTATTATCTAACCCTCTTTACTATTAGCAAAATTGTGCAGAAAAAACCCCCTCTTTTTTTCAAAACGTCTTGTAGTAGCGAGTCTATGGCGGTGGGCATGTCAAAGCTAAATGTCACTGGTCAGTTTATGTTTATTTGGCGGCTTGGCGCTTTTTCTGTAAGCTAAAAATGAATGAGCGGAGTTTGATCCCACTCGTAGTTCTAACGGTCATTTGGATCCCGGCTGAGCTTTATACCATGTGCGGTTCTGACGGGTCACATCTGCCACCCCTACTGAGCGTCTCAGACTGCGGGTTAAACAATTTAATTTACTCAAAAGAGTAAAAATTAAGCAAACAATGTTGCATCACTTTCTCCTCCTCTAGATGTCTGACACCACCTGAACCTGGGAATCAACATCCCCGTCTTTCCGTGGATCATACGAGCAGGTTTTGCTTTCATGTCTATTATTTAGCATCGTTTGTAAAAAATAAAAAATAAAAAAAAAGTCCGCTGCTTTTGTGGTTTAGGTTTGTGCTGGTTAGGTGCAGACAGTGATAGTTTTGTGCTACTCTCCAACCTGTCTAACTTTTTTTTTTTTTGACCTGTCAGCTTTTCAGTTCGCGAAACCACAAAAAGGCTAATAAACCGGCGACCGTCAGAACCGCGCAGGGTGAAAAGCTCAGGCGGATCTTAGGACAACGGGAGGAGCTCATTCATTTTTAGCTCACAGAAAAAGCGCCAAATTAACAAAAGTAAACTGACCAATATGATTTAGCCTTTTGCGTGCCCACCCCCATAGGCTCACACTGATGTGCGCTACGTACAAGATGCTTTGACACAAAATGTTTTTTTCTCCACAATTTTGTTAATAG